TGCCCGAGCAGTAACAGACGTGCCACCATTTGGCCCTCAGTGCAGGCATGTGTGGTGTCAGCTTCTCTGCCAAAGCTACATGCACAATTGCCTTTGGTGCAGGATTTTGAAGCTTTCGTGCTGCACGAGGGAGGGGCGCGCATCCAAAGGCATGGGAAGCAAGCATCGGTGTGTGCATTGAGAGGTGTCTCGGGCGGTTTGCCCACAAGCTCCTCGAAACTCTTAGACATCATCCATGTGTCTGGGGCCCGGGCCCCCGAGAAAGCAAGCATCAGATGCGATTTTCAGAGCTCCTTCACCCTGCTCTGATCGCCTCTGTGCGATCGCTGCGTTCCATGCATGCAACGCGTTCCTTGCCCTCTGTGCGCTGCATGTTGCCAGCAGCTTGCCTTTCGACCCATGATTCTAGCACTACCGGATCGGATGAGGTCCGTGGCTGGCATTCCAGCTTGCTGGACTTTTTAGGTGTTTTTGTTGATTCGTTTCCAAGCTGGACTTCTGGTGATGAAGCGATCTTGACGAATGGCGATTCATCGCACATCTCGCAGTGTGACTGCCCAAAGAGCTCCCTGTCTGAGTCGTATCTGCAACCTACCTCTGCTTCCCTGCCCACGGCACCCTACATGCTTATGCTCCAAGGAGCACTGCGGCTTCTCAACTACCTGCCAGTTCTAGAAAAGGCTATTGCAACCTCTTGCTTGTCCATTCATCCTGTAAACGAGGTCTTGAGGCTGATGATGCCAGCAGCTGCTGTCTTGGCCAGAGGTCTCCTCAAACTGCCAACCTTGTACAGTCTGCCGGATGCATCGCTGCAACTTCTCGACCTTATCCTTGTCGGGCACAGCTATGGAGGGCTGATCGCTCACAGCCTGGCGCAGTCCCTTGAATCCATGGGTTTCTCTGTCAGGGGCATCGTGTGCTTGGACACCCTGAATCTGCCGCGCTCCACAGACCTGCCCATTGCAGTGATAGAGCCACGAGGCCTCTTCCTGCAGCGGACGCCATACCATTGGCGGCTGCTGTCAGTGGAGGTCAACATGATGACTCTGACCGCTGAGGCGCTTCGGCTGTGATTAGGGCTGGAGTTTGCAGCAATGTTTGCATTGCAATTGTTTGATTGCGTTCTTCATCTTACGCTCCGGTTCTTGGGTATCCAATTGAACATGCAGTTGAAAATGGAAGGGAAGCCACATTAAATTGGTGTGACAGTTCCCACCACCTCCTTTACATGCGAGCTGTTAGAACACAACGCAAAGTGGCAAGCAAACACCCCGCAAACTTGCGCCCAACGTATGCACCTGGCCGTCTTTGAGCCATGGGCGTTTTGATTTGTGTCACTGTCTGTTGCTTTGAAGTGAGACCTAATGGTGTGGGACTCATTGCGAGAAGCTGCTGCTGCTGCCGCCGCCATTGCTGCTGCTGACGGGTCTGGTTATTGCCCCACTACCCAGCACAATTTTTCATCAACATGCGAGTTTATAAGACCCATTGCCTTTTCATCCCAGCGTTAAGCTATACAGCCGGCATGGTATGCTGCTCGATCGTACACCTCAGTGGTCAAGCCAGTCTTCGTCAGCAAGCCTGTTTGCAAAGAACACTATTGCACCCATAGATTGTTTGGGCAGTAGGCTCAGAAGCTCAGCGATTGTGTTCCCTTGCAATCTGGTTTCACGGGGATATTTAGGGTTCTATTGGGATGATTTTCAGGCTAATCATTTTGGATGATGGCTTATCATGTTCCCCTACACAACTCAACCGCCACCTGCCTACTCACCGCCACACAGCCGAGACACCACGTCTGATTGCTCGCCGCTCACCGCACATTGCGCACCATGCAACACCACAAGCTTAGCACACGCCACCTGCGAAGTGATACATGTGACAGATGCACACCCTGCGCATGTGCAGACACTCTACTGTTTGAGTGCTTGGGTTTCTCCAACTGACGGCAACACATCACTGAGTTATACATCCTACTGACACGTTTGAACTGCGCATCTCAGCTGTACACATTCGCAGGACTGTTTGAGGGCATGCTTTGTTGCAGGACGCTTCCATCCGAAAGCATCGTCGACAATTTTTTTTGGCTTCACCAATCTGAGCACGCACGCTCTGTCCCGTTTACAGTACACGAGCCACAGCGCCTCAAAGTTGAAGACACGACGCACAACTCAGCCATGAGGTTCTTTTGACAGATGTGACGCCATGCTTACAGCTTGCACGTTTGTTTTGGTTGTTGCAGCGTCTTTGCATTGGGAGCACTCCGCCTCCAGCTGTACGATTGAAAGATTTTGGGTGCAAGGTGCCTCCCGTCCTTGGACGGCGGCTTCCGGACAAGGCAGCTGTGCTTGTTCAAGGCGCCGTGTTTCCGGCACAACACATCAACGACGCGGACCACTTCCGGTTGCCGGCGCAACTCCCTTGGGATCTGGCAGCTGTCTTATCGAAGACCCTCAGGCTCGGACTGTCATGCCCTGATGAGCTCAACAAGATGTGTTGAGAGTTGCAGGCAGAGCTCACCTAAAGCAAGCAACTCGCCGCTTGACGGCATTACTGTATGGCTCCTTTGGCTTACACACTTGTCTACATGCGGCTACATGGGGGCATTGTTTGTCAACAGAGCTGCAACACGCGGTAGTGTGGATGAAATATGATGGAGTGAGGAAGTATCTTGAATTGATCTGAAGTGCCAGGTGGAAGGGCCAATGTGCGTGGAAAGAACCATTCAGAAATGACCCGGTATCCAAAGTCGGCCTCATTCAGCCTGGTTTCACACAGTCCTGTACAGATAACAACAATGGTAATGGTGACAACAGTACTTCCAGTAATAACAACTGTGTCAACTAGAAGGCTAAACATTCCGAACATGTAATAGTAAGGATACGACAATACTAGTATTGGAATTGGCTTTCAAGGCCGTGCTCGACCAAGAGCCAGAAGCCTTCGGGCACGAATTCATGTCCATAGCAGAACTCCGGTCTCGTTCACCCCATTGGATGTGGAATGCATGTGCCATCGGTTATTTGCTACGCAATTTGCATTGATTTTTTCGCTGAGGAGAGTCAGATCCAGGAAACAAGAGGAAAACAAATGTGTTGCACAGCTGATCATGTCTGCCGTCCGAGAGGCATTCGGTCTTGCATGCAAGAGCCTCGCAGTCTTTGGTGATGTTGCTCTCGTTGTACTCCTGGTAAGTGAAGGGAATATCAAGTTTCAAGTCATAGTCGCAAGCAAAGTGTGCAAAGCTGCACATCTAGACTTTTCCAAGCAGTCCATAATCATGGGAACCTTTGTCTACGTGGCTGTTAAATCCCTGTGTGACTATCGGATCTACGTGCCACGATGTGCCACGGAACGACGCCTCAAGAGGCTGGAAGTGGAAACAGCAGACTTCCGAAAGGCTTTAACAGCCAAGGATGTGATTTTGGGTCTTTGGCCGAGTGATCCGGGCTACAGAGATACGAGCGGGCGAGAGACAATACAGGTCGTTTTCCTCTCCTTTTGTCTCAAAGAGGTATCTTCCAAATGATGATCTGACATCAGGAGTCGGGCGAGTGCGAACCTGCGTCGTGTGCAGGTATCACAGTTTCTCAGGAGTTATGTATTTTGAGTCACGAGATCTCATTTCTCCTCGAACAAGGCATGATCTTTCCTTTCTCTGCAAGCCAGGCGCAGCACATCGCAGCACCAACATCTGCAGCTCTTGCATGATTAGCACTGGCAACCATCTGATGTCTCTGACACTGCTAAACTGCCTTGTCATTCCTGGGCGTAGACATACATCTTAGATTTTCCATGACTATGGCACAGTGACTAGAGAGGGTTCATCGGAGCGTGGTGCCATGGCTCAATGCCCCTTTGCCGACTCAGCTTTGCTGGCCCTGAGTGGCACCGCATCTATTCGGAAGAGCAGGTATTGATCAACGGGCTGAACGTAGTATTGGCAAACGCAAATCTTTCCCACACTACCCAATCGGAGCCAGCCTCTGAATGAAGACGCGCCTATTCATTGTATTTATCTGCAAATGCATCCAGCGTGTTGTCACCAGCCAGTACTTGTCAAGGCAAGGCTCACAGTTGCATAGAGTTGACGTGTGCGCCTTTGAGACAGACTCCCTGGTATATCAGGCGTTTCAGAAGTCCAGGCGAAGTCGTGAGCGCCGCCTGATAGGGACATGGCATCATGTGGTAACGTCATTTGCGCCTGAATCTATAATCTCCCCCGATCTTCCTGAGACCCCTGCTTGGCATTTTACGTGGCTGAAGATACCGCATTGGGACTACATCTCCTATATCTTTCACACTCTGGGAACTCGTGGGGTTGACGTTGAGATGATGTTGCTGTCCAGTATGATACTCGTTTTCACGAAGCTTATAGTGTTGAGTGGGCATGATGCTTGGGGCACATTGAGAAGCATGAAGAGGGATTTGGTGGAGGAGTTCACAGATGAAGCTTCCACGCTGTTTGCTAAGTCTGACCAGTGGATCAACTACGTGGCCACAATTTGGACCGACACCCGCGTTCCCGACTTTGCGGTGAGCATCTTCGGGATGATGCAGTGGCTTAGCACGGTGCTGTCGTTCCAGCGGCGCCGGGATCTGAGGCCACCGGGCGAGATGCGGCCTTGCAGGCCCTACAGGCCAGGGAACGCTGGAGATGCAGGGAACACCAGCAGTGGGAGACTGTGGCGGCCGATCCTGGAGCACTTGTTTCTTTGCCTGAGGAACCGCCAGCTTTTTGAAGGGGACCATACTGCAAAACCGCTTGCTTGGATTTTGACAATGGGCCGGCTACATTGGGGCCCTCTCCACATGGCGATGGCAGAAGCAGCAGATCTGGAGCCTTACCTGCTTTCCTTCCCCAGCATTGAGCTGCCACAACTGCCACAGCTTGACCCGAATCACGCGCCTCTGGTGGAGCTGTGTGCGACGGCGCAGCAGCAAGAACAGCTTCGAAAACTTGCTATTAAGAATCCTGCGCTGCTGCCTAGCGAGACGCCGCTCGCCTCTGCGCTCCAGCACGATGGTGTTCGGATCACCGTTGTGGCAGTGGCCACGGGGTTGCCGAATGCAGCTGACTCTTCAGGACCATTGTCAAATCAGTCTAGGTACCTCCTGGAATTCTTGGTCTGGGCTGAGAAACCTCATGGAGAATGTGCACGGAGCGGGGCCTGCCGGGAAAAGAACCGGACCTTGTACACTTGTGGGCCGCATGCGGCCATACTCCCGGAGGTGTCGATGAGACGCTGGCGCTGCATTTTTCGAGCCAGCCCAGCCAGCACGCAAAGCGCTCATGCCGTGAATTTCTTCCGGCAAGCCGCCACCATCCGATGTCCCATTCCAGTAGACCTGTCCCTGACTTCTCGAGGAGGTCCGTTGCTCGTGGAGCTGGAAGCGGATCCGCCCTACGAAGGTGCCGTGCGCTGGCGCATAGCCGTTGAGGTTTGCTCGAAGGGCAGCGATGCCGGCGGAAGCGATGTTGACAGTGGCGGCGATTTCTCGCGCCTTGCCATCTGCATCCAGCCGGCCTGGGATATGAGGGATTTGGAGAGGGGCGTGCCCGGGCTGGTTCAGACGTTCCTCCGCTACTACCAACTGCTGGGCGCTGATGGCTTCACCTTCTACGACTACGACGCTTCCTTTGTTCGTCACCCTGACGTCCTGGATCTGCTGGCTGCTGGCAAGCTGAAGTACTTTCCCAACTTCATGAAGGGGGTGTCGGAGCTGTTAGATGAAGCGTGGAAGTCCAAGATTGTGACAGGACTCACAGGTTCCAGGGCTAGCTTCATGCAGGAGCTAACCTTGAATCATTGCGTTCTGAATTACCGTGGCGCTGCTGATCTCGTTCTGTTGGGTGACAAAGACGTGTTCCTTGCATTTGGTCCCAGCGTGCCGGCATTTCCGACTGGATGTTGGCAAGATGCGGGAACTACTGCTGCCTGCTGTTCTGGGACAGGCCCAAACGCCACGAGGGTTCTGTACCATGGCCCTACTGAATGCTGGCATGGCTTCAGGACCTTTTCCAAATGCTGCCTGGAATATTCGCCTGAAGCTCCGACGCGCAGTCCCTGGCCCGACTTCATAAGAAGCCGTCCGGTGCGGTTCTGGAAGTCCGTGGGCACTGTGGCTATGGGCGTCTGTGAGTTTGCAGTGCCTTCATATCTGCCACGTGCGCAGCGAGGGCCGAACTGGTCCTTCTCCTCGCACATCTGGCGTCCGAGAGACTGCAATGCGCAGTACTACCATCTAGTCAACCCATGGCGCTTCATGTCCCAGAACTCAGAGTGGGTGAGGCTGAGGCCGCGAAGCCTCCGGTACTACGTGGATCCCGAGGCCCTGCGCGCCATGCACCTTGTCAACCTCCACAAGGAGCGATGCACCGAGCGCGTGAATCTCTACGGCAGCGCCCGGCAGCCCTGCAACTGGCCCGACTTTGGCCTGCGCTGGGCGGCAGCAGGCCTCCGGAGCTCAGAGCTAGAAGCTAGAAATTGTATGCTTGCAGGCCAGGGAAGTCCAGCCAGGACGTGGCTCGGGTTCATGCGACATGGCGCGCTCCAGAAGCAGTACCTGAATCCCGAAGACGCAGCTTAGCACCTAAGAGCTGTAGATCATTCACGACTTAATCGTTGCCTAGGTGTTGTCTTAAAGTTGGGTTTCGGCATACCAGGAAAGCTTAGCATGTTGGGAACAAAGATAGCTCTCCTCCTTCTAGAACGTCAGCTTCCAAGGCAAGCTTGGCTGCCTGAGCCCTATGATGCCGTAACCGATTGCAGCCCAAAAATCGCACCACAGGTGCTTATCCATACTTGCTGGTAGCCGCAACTCCTTAACCAGATCGGGTTCTCTGAGTGTTTATGCCAAGATAGCTCACAAACAAGCGTAGCAAACATGCTTTTGGCCCACAACCTTCAAGCCAAGAGCCGCCTGTGATCAAGGCCTTGGTGAGCGATGGCAAGCCCAAACCGCGGCTAAGCTAGTACCCGAGAAGCTCCGTACGCGCACACGAAATCCCATTGCGGATTCCCACACCCCGCGAGCTCAATCACCAAACCTGAACTCCCCTTACTCGCCAGTCCAGAACGACTTGGTCCTGCGGAAGGGATGACATGAATTCAAGACATCCCCACTTTGACAGCCAATGGGCCTCAGCCCGAACCTTGAACCCAGACCCCCAGATCTCAAACCTTAAAGCGGAAAAACCTTCAACCCTAAACCCCGAAACTCCTTCGACTCCATGCCTCGCATGCTGCCATGCCCAAAATCTTTGCTGCCACGGCGGCGGCGCTGTCGTGGGCTCCAGAGGTTCCTGGTAGTTGGGAAGTGTTGCAACCACTTGTAGGCAAAGCTTCGTTTGGGCAGTTTCCTAATATTTCTTCTTCAACACCACTTGGCAGGTGCCGCGCGCGATTGGCCTCCGAAAGAATAGTGTTTCGTGCAGTGTTGTGCATATCATGACATGACAAGACGTAATATTCTCCGAATGCAGTGGCGCTGGCTTCATACCCTGAAGGTCATCGGCATCGCGTTCCAATATGGCCCGGTGCCCGGGTAGCTGTAGTATGCTGTAGTCCTACACTTGCGTAGCTACTGCACGCCCGCCCTATCCCAACTTTGCCGTGAAGAGGAAATCATCTTAAAGATCGTAGGCGTACCCCTGACCCAGGTGTCAAGGTGTGTCAAGGTTCCGAGGTGCTTTTGCCATCATTTGAAGCATGCTTGAGCAGGGAGCCTTGGAACCTCGGAGCTCAAGCTTGGGGTTCAAGGACTCATAGTCTAGCGACAGGTGACTGACAAGTGAGGCAATTGTTTGGTAAGTACTCAAGCATCCATGTAAGGACCATGCGCATTCATCACGACGGAGGAGTACGAATACTGTTGCTGTGCAGGGGCCTTAGCCAGTCCAAGCAACACGAGCACCCTGACCGAGGCTGACAGAACACTTGCTGGGATGTTGGGTGAGCGGTTGTTGTACTTCCTGAAATTAAGTACTCCATAAGGCACAGTTGATTGAAGGGCCCACGTTGGGGGTCGCCCACTTACAGCACAGTTCAGGGTTCGCGGCTTCAGTGTCTGACATTAGGTGTTATTATTGTTGTTGCTACCCATTCTCCCCGTTGGAACTATCTCTGTTCGGGTTTAGAACGTGCGGCTGAAGGTTGTTCTGACTTGTGAGGGCTCCGGATGGTGCGGTTCAGTCTTTAGCTGCAGGGCTGTAGTGCGCGGAGGGTGAGCTGTCTGATTTGCCTGGGTTTAGCATTTAGATAGCATTACTCTGTTTTTCCTGAAAACTGCATCGGTCCTAGGCCCAGAAGAGCATGCCTATACCAGAACAGCTGTAAAAGCGGCAATAGAGACAGCCAAGATACTCCAGAGGAAGTTCTGGTCAGTCTGAAGTCAGTATCAGAAGAAGAGGCACATACTTCAAGCCTAAAGAAGAGACAAATCGGCTTCCGTAGTCATGAACGCTTTTGATGGACCGAGCCGCCAGGGACAAAATTCTCAACCCCGGAAACCATGGTAGTTTCCATGAACTGTAAATCCAGCCTCATAAAGACCTGGCAAGGAGGCATCACATGACTGCTGGGCCTATGAGTCCCCAATTCGATGGGAGGACGGGCTGTTAGCGCCCTCGAGATGTAAATCCTACTAGAACTGGTGGCTTCTTAAACTGAGTGTTTCTTGATTCGCTTTGTTGGACTGGAGGTACCAGGAACCTTTTCCTTGATGAAAACTGGACTCGTCGTCTTCCTTCCTGGGTGTGTCATGGTTTTGAATACATTCAGGCTTCACAGAAAGCGATTCCAGATTTATGGGAAGTGCATTGGCAGGAGTTTGATTTGTTTGAGTAGGTTTCTGGGCCTCCTTCAGATTTCCTAAAACTCCTTTGGAGAGCTGTGGGTATTCTTTCAAAGTCAAGTTGAAGACCACTTCATTTCATTATGCCTGCGTACCATCTCTGCCCTAGCAGCAGAAAAGGGGGCTTCAACAGGCCTGCAATTCAAGCATGAGCGCACCTGGAGAACAACAGCCTTTAGCGAAGATCCGATATGTCTTGCCGAGCCCAGCATTTGCATAGATGAGGATTGGGATGTATGATTTTTGAGGTTTATTGAAAGGAATCGAAGGTGGCGTTCGTGTCCACTTCTTGAACTACCATTTGCAAGTCAAGGCTTGCAGTGGCGCCCTGAACCGCATGCTACTAAAGATCATCAGGCCTTCAATATGACAAAATGGAGCGGAAAGCATGCATCAGCAGGGCAGCTCCGCCCTAAAATGCAGTCCAGTGCCCGGATTGCTCAGATTCCCTGCAATTCTTCAAGAGAATCCTGAACTGCAACCCTCCAAAGCATCCAACCCTAGTTTTCCCCGAAAGGAGTGTTGTCGGAGCAGTGTGGAGGCGCACTGGCAATAATGTAGGATGCAGTGGCTTTCTCAGGAAGTGTACAGTGAGCTTTCCTGCTGGAAAGCACTTTTTGAAGTGTTGATTGTCGGGTTGCAGACATTCTGGGGTTGATCAGGTAGGTAGAAGGACTTTAGACTACAGCTCAGAGTCTTCAAAACCATTCCAAGTTCAAATTTTTGAAGAAACATCTATCTGGTGCTGTCAGCCAGGAACCCAGTTGATTGGCAAGTTTGTGGAGTTTACATGTCACAGTCTCACATTTAGAGGTCCAGGGGTTAATAAGGTTTATGTAAAAAAACATGTTGGAAAGATCCTTATTAGAGGACACTGGCGACTTCAAATCCTCAACCCAACGTACTGAGAGTCTCTGATGCCTTGGCCAGGGGTTAGAAATGGTAAAGCTGAATCCCTAAACTGTGAACCAGTCTGAATAAGCCCGGTTGCAATCCCTCTATGTGCTATTTGTTAATCTCTAGAAGTTTCCGGAAAATCCTTACATGAGCATGACATGAGCCCCGTGTCGACATTTCATAGAGAATTTGGTCCTTTCATGATCTGGAGAACCCTTTTAATAACTGCTCAACATCCCTGTACCATATTCAGTCTCTTGACGATATGTACATGTTGGACGCAGCAGCAGCAGTAGATGTGCCCCTAAATCCCTAAACTCTGGGGCCTAAAAGGCCTTTCAGGCAAAATGTCCCCCTGGCTCTGCAGCCTTCCGCCGCCTGCAGCCGCGAATCGAGGTTCCAAACAGTTTCCGAATATGAAAAATTGTGGGCCCAGTAGTGTCTAGGACTTAAGGCAATCAGGATGTGGAGATTTGGAAGCTTGACAGCTTGAGGTCTGGGATTTTGCGTGAGATTCTTGTGCCAGCCATTCTAGAGCAGTATCTTTAGGGTACATGTTGTGGTAGACCTGACAGTCTTTGACAGAACCTGTCCTTGGATTGATTGGCTGTATCAATGGGGTGTAGTGAATTTAAACTGACATCCGTTGGCATCCGCGGGCCGGGTCCGTGATTGCTGCAGCATCCTCTTGGCAGAATGGCATGCGTGCTGCAAACTGAGCCAGCTCAGTTAGGGCACAACACCGGCCCCAATTTTTGACCTTAGGGAAGGGTTCAGGACGTTGGATGCAAGCAGAAGAATTGCCAATGCTGAGGACATAGGATTCAAGAGTCGGGCCTTGGATTTGCAAAGGTTACTCGCAGTTGTTTCATATGTCATGGGATTGCAGAGATTGAGCTCCTTTGTGAAGATGCAACAACCTGCAGCAGATGCACAGGCTAAGGCAGCTTTCTGCAGTGTCTGGATGACAGTGATTCCTGTGGCTATGCGAATGCAGGTGGCGCGGGCTGGCGAGAAGGATACGTTTGCGGTGTACGAGCCCCTCGGTAGGGATTCTTCGGATACGGGTCGACATGTTGCCTCCTAGAGAGTTTCATCAGGCTTGCGCTTATCTTGTGACCGTTTGTTCTTTGTTTCTTATGATGGCATCAGACTCTCTGCAAGAAGCCTCGACCTGTCAAAGCGACGGAGAAGACACGGATCCCGTTGCATGACGGCAGTGATAGAAGGCTCCCCAAAATCAGAAATACTCTAGAGTCTCTCAAGTTCGTACTTGAAGCTCTGCTTCCCTTCCTTTGTCTTGGTGGCAACGGCAGCGGCCCAGATGTGGATTCTTGTTTGATGGGTACAAGCGCTGTTGAGTTGTCATTCGAAGAAAGTCCTTCTCATGAAGTTTGATGAAGCGTTTGCTTACTGTTCTGTCTTTTGTTGACAGGCCACACCGCCCTAGGGGTGTCTGTGCATGCGACTTTGGGCATGCCGAGCAAGTATATTAGGTTGCAATAGGCATGGAGTGCAGTGAAGGCACTTTGAGGCAATTTCAGCTCTGTTTTTTTTTGATGCTTTTGCCCTCGGAGGCTTTTTTCTCTTGTGTGCAGAGGATCTGAGCAAGTATAGTTCTGACCGGGTCTCATTAGATTTGTTTGATACTGTCAGTAATCAGTGCAAGGTGGTTGAGAGTCTTGTGGTTTAGCATTTTAGTTTCCCTACGTACAGACAAGACG